CATCACTGAGCGCCGGCTGCCTGGTCCCAGGCTTGGCTGGGGACCTTCATCTGGGGTTAAATCTGGTTTCCAAACCCAGAGGGGTGTCCTGCGGGGCTGCTCTTCTCCGGACGTCCCTGGCAGCGCATCCCCTCTCACCTCCCTCCCGCTGCACCTCCCAGGTTTACTCCCTGGATTCGGCCGACTCCTTCCAAAGCTTTTACAGCCCCCACAAGGCTCAGATGAAGAACCCGATCCTGGAGCGCCTGGCAGAGCAGATCGCCACGCTGTGCGCCACGCTGAAGGAGTACCCGGCCGTGCGGTACAGGGGGTAAGGGCAGCGCGGTCTGCACCCCCCCAGGGACCTGCCCTCTGCCCCGGCAGCGCGGCGGAGCTGGGGCCATGCCGAGCATGGGGCATGGATGAGGCCGTGCTGTGTCCGGTGCTGGTGAGGGTGTGGGGATGGAGGAGATGGTGGGATGGACAGACACCCGTGCTCAGTGTAAAAACAGGTTGACTTGAAGACGCGCTGGAGAGTGGGGGGGATTGGGACCCTAAAATCCAAGTGGCACCAAGGCAAAGCAGACCACCCCAAGGAGATGGGGAAATGGGCAACAAAACCTGCTCAGGTCCCATGAGCCAAGGACATTGCACAGAGAAACCAGCAGCTCCTCCCCATCCCATGGGGCCAGCCACCCCGGGGAGCTGACCTCTCCTCCTGCCTCCTCCAGGGATTACAAGGACAACGCCATGCTGGCGCAGCTCATCCAGGACAAGCTGGACGCCTACAAGGCTGATGACCCCACCATGGGCGAGGTGAGCAGGGATGGTGCCAGCAGCCCCGGGGGAGGATGCTCGGGTGATGCTTCATTCCTAAAGTCCTGCTCGAGCTCTGCCACGCGACTGTCGCAGACCCCGAGTGGGGACCCTGAAATGGCTCTGGCTTCTCCTGACCGCCCGCGGGGCTGGAGGAGCCCCCCCGCTGCTGACGGCTCCCCCCGGCTCTGCAGGGTCCGGACAAGGCTCGCTCCCAGCTTCTCATCCTGGACCGCGGCTTTGACCCTGCTTCCCCGGTGCTGCACGAGCTGACCTTCCAGGCCATGAGCTACGACCTGCTGCCCATCGAGAACGACGTCTACAAGTGAGTCCGGCACTGCCATCCCCGCAATCCCCATGGCCCCCACGAGTCCAGCCCTTCAGCGGGAGTTGGAAGCTCAGCCATGAAATCTGAGCCTTAGCATCCCTCCAACCGTCACAAATCAATTGGTTGGGAGAAACCATTCTTGCCTGCAGTCTGGCAGCAACGGGCAGGATTGATGCAAAAGGGGCTTTTCTAACTTTCAACCCTTGGCCCCTTCCCAAAATTTAGCAGCTGAAGGGGTACAAGAAGGCGAGACGTGAAACCAAGTTGAAATAACGGCACCCTGCTGCTGGCAGAGCCAAGAAGAGGTCCCATGTCCCCCCATCTCCCCCCACCTCCCTAGACCCTAGGCAGCGAGGGGACCGCGTGCCCCCCAGCCCTGTCCCCGCCGTGACATCCCCGTCCTCTTCCCAGGTATGAGACGAGCGGCATCGGGGAAGCCCGGATTAAGGAGGTTCTTCTGGATGAGGATGACGACCTGTGGGTCACCTTGCGCCACAAACACATCGCCGAGGTGTCCCAGTGAGTGTCCCTGCGGGCGGTTTGCCAGCTGGGTGGGACGTCGGCTTGGCATTGCCACCCACCCTGCTGTTAGCGTCCCCTCCCCGCTGACAGCTGTGTCCTCCTCCTCTCCCCAGGGAGGTGACCCGGTCCCTGAAGGAGTTTTCGTCAAGCAAGAGGATGAACACAGGCGATAAGGTGACCTGACTGTGCCCTCCGAGCTGGGGACGGGCACTCGGGGGACTCAGCCACGGGCTGGCACGTGGCAGAGTCTCCTGGGGGACACCTGATGGGGACTTCTGCAAAGGGCCAAGGGTGCTCAGGTCCCTGATGGGAGGAGATGACTGTGGGGTGTCAGCCTGGGGCTGGGGCAACAGGGTGCCTTGGGAGAGCACCATGCCATGGGGGGTCGGTTTGCCCCCAGCATGGGGTATGCGCCCATCCCGCAGCGGCTGCCTCTGTCCCCAGCTGGTTCCCTTGTGGAGATCCCGAGTTGGTGGCAGTGAGGGGACCCCAGTAAAAATAGGATGTAAAAGTGGCCAGAAGCTGAAAGCACCATCTCAGCCTCAGCCAAGCGCATGGGGGTCCCAGAGGAAGGTCCTGGGGGGATTTCTCCCCCCGGCACTCCAGCTTGCAGACCCCCTCCCTGCCCCTCAGCCGGCAGTGCCACGGCAGGCGTCACCAAACCCCCGCGAGGGGCTCACATGGGGACAGAAGTCCTTGGCAGGGTGATCCCCTCTCTGCTTATGGTCCCTAAGTCCCCAAGGGTGAGTGACCATGTCCCTTTCCCTCGCAGACCACCATGAGAGACCTGTCCCAGATGCTGAAGAAGATGCCGCAGTACCAGAAGGAGCTCAGCAAGGTAGGAGGAGGGAGGGAGATGTCTGTGCAGAGCAGCTGGCGCTGAGCCCACCCAGGGAGCGGGCGATGGCAGCTCTCCCCGGAGGGTCCCTGGCCGTGGGCAGGGGCTGAGGACACAGTGGTGGCATGGGGACCTTCGGCTGCTGCCAGCACCACAGTGGTGACTGCACCGCTTGTGTCTCCCCAGTATTCGACCCACTTGCACCTGGCCGAGGACTGCATGAAGCACTACCAGGGCACGGTGGACAAGCTCTGCAGAGTTGAACAGGTACCAGCTCCCCCAGTTCCACATCCCCATGGGGACAACTGGGGCTGGCAGCTCCTGCCCCACAGCTCAGCACTGAGCCGTGGGGTGATGAGTACGTGTGTTCTCTGCAGGACTTGGCCATGGGCACTGATGCTGAAGGCGAGAAGATCAAGGACCCCATGAGGGCCATCGTCCCCATCTTGCTGGATGGGAATGTCAGCACCTATGACAAGATCCGCATTATCTTGCTCTACATCTTCCTGAAGAACGGTGAGGAGGACACCTGGGCAGGGTTGGGCAAGATGTGCGGGCAGCTCTGGGTGGCAAACAGCTCGGGGTTTGGCCAAGATAAGCCGGATGGAAAAGCTCAGCCCTGTCTCCCTGACCACCACCGGGCCAGGTGTCCTAAGGTGACAATGGAGGGTGTCCCCACTGGGAGGCGTTTCTCAGGAGGACGCCATCTCCCCGTTCAATTTCCAGGTATCACCGAGGAGAACCTGAACAAGCTGATCCAGCACGCTCAGATCCCAGCAGAGGACAGCGAGATCATCACCAACATGGCCCACCTCGGGGTGCCCATCATCACAGACGTGAGTGTCCACCTCCCGCTTCCCGCAGCCCTGCTTGCTCTTCGGGACGACCGTGGCAGCCGCTCTGCTGTGGGAACCGCGTTCCCTCCGGGATGCCCCCAGCACCCCTCCGGGGCGGCCCCGATCCCACCGCCGGAGCCCCGTGTCTCAGGGTGTCTCTCTGCTCTTTCTGCCCAGTCCACCCTGCGCCGCCGGAGCAAGCCGGAGCGGAAGGAGCGGATCAGCGAGCAGACCTACCAGCTCTCCCGATGGACCCCTGTAATTAAGGACATCATGGAGGTGAGCCAGCAAGGACAGGGACGGGGGACAGAGCAGGGACCTGGGACGGAGCAGGGACCTCAGCACTGCCCGGAACCTGCAGAGAGCTGGCTGCTTCCAGCCCAAACCCTGACACCTCTCCCCGACACGTACCCTCCAGTTGCAACAAGGTTGGGATGTTTTGGGAGGCTTTCCTGGCCCCCACGTGCACGCTGGCCCCAGGTGGGCTGCACGGCCCGGGCTGGGCTTGCACAGCATCCTTGCAGTACAAAATCCAATAACAAACTGGTTGCTCCTTGTGCCGCACTGTGTGCCACCACGGGCAGGGCTGGGTGGCCTCGTCGCAGTATTACCCACGTCCCAGCCGAGCTGGGGGTCGGGCATGGCACCGTTCACCCCTGCCCGCAGGCACAGCCGTGCCTGTACCCACGGGAGTTACCGCACGAGCTCTGCGCTCGGGCAGCACTGGGCAGAGCCAAAAAGTGATTTTTTCCAGGCACTGCCTTCCTCCTGACCCGCTCCCTCCCGGCCACCCCTCAAATCAGAGCAACCTCCCGGGGTTTGCCCAGAGCTGGGGTATCCCAGGCACCAAAACTGCTCCCCAACACAGGCATTTCCCACCTGCTCAGACAGACAGACCCTGGAGCCACATTTTGGGGAGGGGGGATATCACTTCAGTTCAGTGCCACCTCTGCTGCCAGGCACTGATGACAAGCAGAGCCACAGCTCCCTCCCTTTCTAAAAGCACACAGCTCTTGCCTTCTTCTACCACAGTCCATACAAAACCTCCAGGGGCAGCTTCATGCCCAGAGCACCCCTAAACCTCATCCCCAGGACCGGAGGGGACCGTACAACATCTCACCGATAGCATTAACCCTCCACCGCTGACAAAAGCAAGAGCAGGTCCTTACCTCAGGGATACAGGTGGGAAGCCTCCAGCTCAACTCATGCACCTGAGCTTCTCACAAGATGAGCCTTT